ATAATATTTTTTAATAATTAATAATTAAATTTATATAAAATTAAAAATTAATAATTTATATGATAATAATTAAAGTAATATATGTATATATATTATTATTTTTCAAACAGAAAATAACGTCATGACATTCATCATAACATTAAAATGGTGTCAAAACGATTCCAAAATAATTCTGCTTGAATTTTTATTTAATAAATACCAACTAACAGTAACATCAATATAATTTCAAATTCAACAATATAGACATAATATACCACATGTTGTACATAAGAGTTATATTATTGAGTGCAATGATTACTAGATACTCAAATAAAACACAAATCATCATGACATTAAAATGACTTCAAAATTATAACTAAAAATTACTTTTCAATCATTTACGATTTATTAATGTTATCGCCATTTTGTCGCATATACTATATTTTGACTTGTTCTGCTTGAGTGATAATTGTTTCGACGAACTTTTCTTTTCCGCATTAGTTGTTTCCGTGAATCGGGCATCTGACGATAATCATTACGCTTTCGAGAAATAAATACGCGGATCACTGTACTTTCGAGAGATAAATACCCGAGATCGCGAAGTAACGGTGCGTAATGGCGGTGGCGGTTTTGCGCGTCGCGTTCGATCTGCGACGACGGAGGTTCGCAACACTTTGCGACACGCTCGCAATAATCGCACGTGCATTAATCACCTCCGAACGATCGTAAGAAACATTAATTGCGAGTCACGCGCAATCCGTCATGAATACGTTCTACGAATACCTGCAGAATCCTTTCACGAAGAGACGCCGTGATTTGCCGCGATTTTAGAATGATTGACGCGTCGATGGAACGTGAAGTGAGGCACATTCGAAAAGTAAAGACAGCCTGGCACCGAGCGGGCCGACCAATCACAGCCGAGAATCCTGGGACGACCATTTCTCATGTACTGCGATTGGTCTATTCGCTTCACTGCGCGATTCAAACTGATTAAATTCCAGCGGGATCATTTAATGGCTTTTAAAACGGGAAAATTACAAAAATGAGCAAATTTACTAGGTGTTGACGAACCAATAATACAGTAAATTTGTTCATTTTCATAATTTATCTCGTTTCAAGAGGATCAATTGTGTATCTTGAAATGAGATAAAAATTATAAATGTGAACAGTTTCAATAGATGACCTTAATTGTTGACCAATAAAATTATAAATAGAGAATTTTTGCAATACCGTTTACGGTACGATTACTACTTGCTGCCTTACGTTTTATGTGCCATGAGCTTAAACGTAGTGATTAAGAACATCATCATGACCTTTACAGCCATGTTCCAATGTGCCAGTACTGAAAATCATAGTCCACGTTTATATATTATAGATTTTTAGTACTGTATATTTTTAGGCAGTGTATATTTTGATTTCTATAATTCTAACATTGAATTTCCTTTTAGCAATATGAAAATCTTTTGTCATATCTCTAAGGGCCCCCGCACGCAAAATTCCGTAACAGTGACCGTAATGGTGCGGTCCCATGATGCGAAATTGGCGCAATGAGGAATTGGCGGAACGCTCGTGATTGGTTTAAAAAAGACATATCGACGGAGCGTAATTGACGGAATGCTTGCGATTGGACGGACATCGTTCCGCCAATTCCGCATTGCGTATACGTTCCGCACCATGAGATCGCGCCATAAGACGTAAATTTAAGCCGATGAGCCAATCAGGATATTGCTTTAGATCTACGTGATCTAACGAAAATGGAAATAACAGTAAACTTATCCATAACCTTGCAATAAGGCGAGTTTCAACCAGTTGAAACTGGCCTTATGGATAAGTTTACTGCTATTTCTATTTCCGTCAGGTTACGTAGATCTAAAGCAGTATCCTGATTGGCTCATCGGCTTAAATTCATGTCTTAAGGTTACTGTTGCCCGTACGAGGATCCGGGCTTAAAGCGAGGAGCACAGACTCTTGCATAACGCATAACACATAAGACATAAGAAATCCAACCAATGAGAGTTCTTTATTTCATGGAAAGAAAGGAAACGAATGTTAATTGGTACATTTTCTTATGCATTACGTATTATGCATTATGTAAGAGTCTGTGCTTCCCGCTTAAGCCCATGGCACATACAAAAACGTAAGGTCGTAAGATTTAATCAATAAGGAAATCGTAATTAATGTCTTATGATTTAGGGGCTGCACACAATAAAAGGAATAGGGAACAGGTAATAGAAAATAAGAATTTCAACCTATCAGAAATCATGTATTGTAGAATACACAGTTTCTAATAGGTTGAAATTCTTATTGTCTGTTCCCTATTCGTTTTATTGGCAGCCCCTTAAGACTTAAAACTTAAATAATAGCTTATTAAGCTAGTTCTATATTAGTCGCATCGCAGCGTCGCAAGCGTTGCGGTCCAATCAACGTCAAGCTAGCTCGACTCTGATTGGACTGCAATGCTTGCGACACGCTTGCGACGCTGCGATGGCGATCAATGTAAAACCAATTTTATAGAAAGCCCATTAAGCTGGTTATACATTAATCGCATCGCAGCGTCGCAAACGTGTCGCAAGCGCTGCAGTCCAATCAGAGTCGAGCTAGATTGATGTTGATTGGACCGCAACGCTTGCGACGCTGCGATGCGACTAATGTAGAACCAGCTTTACATGTACAAAAATTTTAATCGCAATCGTAAGGCAATCGTAAACAAATTAACCAATCACAGTTAAGTGTTTTAAATCGTGAGATCGCAATTTTGATTATGATTGGTCGATTTGCTTGAAACCTTACAATGGTCGCGTTCGGCAGACTCAACTATTGTAGAGCGGATCCTGCTCGCTGCTATTGGTGTATTCTTTTAGATCATCCAATAACAGCGAGAGCTCACTGATCCGCTCCGCAACAGTTGAATATGCTCAACGCAACCAATAACAACTAAAATTTTTGTACGCGTAATGACTTCAAAACTCGATCTACAATTGCGTAAACGTTGTTGTAGTTATAATAATTGACCAATCACGCTTGAATATGAGGAGAATATCGAACTGTGATTGGTGAATTTTTACAACTACGTTTACGCAGTTGTAGATCAGGCTTTAGACTAAAAAATAGCTCTAATACCTGAGCTTAAATACAACGAATTAATTACTGATATATAAATACAAGAAGTCGTTTTAACCCTTAAATTTGCATCTTTGTCGATATAAAAATGTCTATTATTTTTAACTATTCTATAAATCTATTGAGTTTCAATCAAATCAACGAATAACATAAAGGTAAAGTTGCTTGTTAGATTCAATGAAGAGTTAAAGGCAAGAACCAATCATCGGCAAAGAGTTTGCTTGCCGGACAATTAAACATGATTGGTTGGATCCACAGGTAAGAACCAATCATGCTTATTCGCACGAGGTTTGTCACGTCGCATGCTCCAACATACTCCAATATGCTCCTACCATAGTCGCTCTAAAGCCCGTATCAGACTACCGACTCTGCAAGCCGACCCGACTGCCAACTCTGGCTGTTAACCAATAATGGACCAATCACATTGAATCAATCTTATTGTGATTGGTCTATTATTGATCGGCAGTCAGAGTTGGTAGTAAGATTGAGATCGAAGATTGAAGATTGAAATTTGACTAATGAAGGCAAAGGAATTTTTGGCCCGTATTCATAATCAGACCTTATATTTAAGGTTTCCTTAAATTTATCTTCAGATGCTCTACGAATTATTTCATTGGCTACTGAGCATCTAAAGATAAATTTAAGGAAGCCTCAAGTATAAGGTCTGACTATGAATACGGGCATTATTCTCTTTCTGTCCTTGGCATTGTAACGAGTCTTTAAATATTATCCATATATCGATGGCTTGCTTTCCAGCAAGAGACAGAATCATTGTTCTGTGCCAATGTTAAACCAAATGATCGCTGTCTCTTGCTGAAAGCACCATAAATCTTGAGACTGGAAAGCAAGGTCAATCTTTAATGCCTAGTCTGATTCCGGCCTTACGAGCGCGTTGAAGTAGGAACTACGGCCGGTATTCATAGTCAGTTCTTATATTCAAGATCGTCTTAAGTTCAGCCTTGAGGTGTCATGAACCAATCAGAGAGCCGCGTTAGCGTATTAAGACATTACTTAAGATGGTTTTGAAATAAGAACCGACTATGAATACCGGCCTACGATAGGAGCATATTGGAGCATGAGCGCGATAAATTTTGGATAAACATGCCTAGGGCGATATTCATAGTCAGTTCTTATACTTAAGATCGTCTTAAGTTCTGTCTTGAGATGTCATGAATCAATTAGAGGCCGGTATTCAGAGGCCGGTATTCATAGTCGGTTCTTATTTCAAAACCATCTTAAGTAATGTCTTAATACGCTAATGCGGCTCTCTGATTGGTTCACACCTCAAGGCTTAAGACGATCTTGAATATAAGAACTGACTATGAATACCGGCCAGAGGGCCACATTAACGTCTTAAGACTTTTGCCCGTATTCATAGTCAGACCTTGAACATAAGACTTCCTTAAATTTATCTTTAGATGCTCAGTAGCCAATGAAATAATTCGTAGTGTATCTGAAGATAAATTTAAGGAAGCCTTAAATATAAGGCCTTACTGAATACGGGCAATTATTTAAGACGATCTTGAAATAAGAACTGACTCATGAATACCGGCCCTAAGTCACTTTGCCGTCTTGAACTCGCTCAATGATGTCGTTCGACAAGATTGGACAAGATGTCGCGCGAATCGCGATTCCGAATATCGACGGAAGTCGACGGCGCTGCCATGTTTGAGTTCTTTTTAGGTTGGTTTTACTAGCAGCACGTTGTCGGAACGGTAAGCGTGGATATTCACTTCTGAACGTTTTCTTGTAACTGTATTTTCGCTTATCGCTGAGTTTTGTGATAAGCTCAGCTATTTTTACTACTCGTTGTTTGCAAAAAATCCGAATAATTCTTGAAAGATGGCCTGAAAAACAAATGCGACGCGCGACGACTTTACGTTGTTAACGTCGAAGTCTGTCGCCTGTCGGTCGTTCTAAATTTTAGTATTTTTTTTATCTCACGATTCTGCCTCCTTTCGATAAAAATAAATTGTAAACCGAAAACTATTCTGAATTCGTCTCACAGCATTTTTTTGGTAGTTGTCGAACGAGATTGTTTTTAACGTCACACGTACTTAGATATTGTGACGAAAGTTCACGGGCTGATTTTATTACAATTCAGATAAGCCATCATGCAGATCTTCGTGAAAACCCTCACGGGTAAAACCATCACCCTCGAGGTAGAGGCCTCCGATACCATCGAGAATGTCAAGGCCAAGATCCAGGACAAGGAGGGAATTCCGCCAGATCAACAGCGACTCATCTTCGCCGGCAAACAACTGGAGGATGGACGCACTCTGTCCGATTATAATATCCAAAAAGGTGCGAATGTGTACCTAATGTTAAATAGAATTTGGCGAGTCTTCAAAGTAAAAACTAGATATTTATAGTATATCAAAGGCTCGTTCTTTTTCTAGACTGAACTTTTTGCATGCTTTATCTTTCCTCTTTTTCTTTTCACATGGAGAGAAAAAAACAAAATCCATACAAGTTCAGTTCTAGAAAAAGAAACTACAGTCTGTGGAAAAAGAACAGGCCTCAAATGTGGCATTAAATTTAGAAAAATGTATAAAATTGTAAACGGAATTCATTATGAACATGTATGAAAATGACTTATTTTTTCTTCTGTAGAATCGACCCTCCACCTGGTACTTCGTCTCCGAGGAGGTGTTATTGAACCCACGTTGCGTATCCTTGCACAAAAATATAACTGCGACAAAATGATCTGTCGCAAGTGCTATGCTCGTCTTCATCCACGAGCAACTAATTGCCGTAAGAAGAAGTGTGGCCACACGAATAATATCCGACCAAAAAAGAAGCTGAAGTAAACTAGACAGCAAATACCATTTTCTATGTTATGGAAATGGAAATATATGTTTCTTATATATGACATCAATAAACTACAACTGGTAAACTGATCTTTTGTACTTTATTCTTCTTATACACTTGACAAAGTAAATTAAATTTTTAATATAAAATAAGCATATAATTGCATACAAAGAGCTAAAGTATTATAAGTTAATCTTGTGTCTGTAATTGTACATATACAATTGATACTAAATTAATATATTAATATACCTCAGAAACTAAGAGAGATACAGGAAAAAGTTTTAGATAAAACAATAAGAATCTTATTTTTAGACCGTACCATGTGAGAAACACAATTAATAATAGAAATTCAACAGCCTATACCGGTCGAAACTAAATCTTTAATGCTTTTAAATAATTTAAAGTAAATTATATATATACTATATACAGGGTGAGGAAAAAGTATCGGGACACCTAAATAACTTCTGAACGGTTCGAGATAGAGGATTGAAGTTTATAGGGATGCAAATGGCATCATAAAATCTATCATTTAATACCAAAAACGCCTATTTTAAACCCCCCGGGGGGACGGAAAAATCTTAAATTGCACGTGGGGTCGAGTGAGGGCTTTTCATTTAAAAGGGCCTTTCAAGACGAGAACAACGCGTGGTGTCCCAGGTCTACGATTTTTTTTTTCGCAGTTATGATCGTTTAAACATTGAGATTTCGCAGTAGCGGAGAGCTCACGGCGAGGACGTGAAAGACTTTGCGCGGACACGTGTGGATAAACGTGCATGTGGGAAGGAATGTGGTGTGCGTGTGTGTGCGCTTTTATTCACACGTGCCCGCGCAAAGTCTTTTTCACGTCCTCGCCGTGAGCCCTCCGCTACTGCGAAATCTCAATGTTTAAATGATCATAACTCTGCGAAAAAAAATCGTAGAGACCTGGGACACCACGTGCAATTTAAGATTTTTCCATCCCCCTTCCCCCCGCCCTCCCAGGAGTGTTAAAATAGGCGTTTTTGGTATTAAATGATAGATTTTATGATGCCATTTGCATCTCTATAAACTTCAATCCTCTATCTCGAACCGTTCAGAAGTTATTTAGGGTGTCCCAATACTTTTTCCTCATCCTATATGTACTTGCATATATAACATATTTGTAGTCCTTCAAACTGCGCGCCGAATTGATTTTCCAGACTTATAAACGCAATTAAACTACTGGAATAATGTCACGAATTGAATTAAATTGACAAGCAATTCTTAAATAATTTCGATGCACAATCAGGCATCATATTAGCAAGATGTTAATGTGCTGAAAAATTTTTATATAAAAGTTGTAGGTTTTCTTGGGGGAAAGAAGGTAAAAATAACAATTTTATATATGAGGTATTATCATCAGGTCAAAGTCATCGATTTTTTTTTAATGGAACACCCTATTTTTGATGTCAGAATTTAATAACTGGTATCAAGAGTTTTTCAAAACACTATAATACAGTTATTTTTCATTAAATACTTTTTGAGTCGAAAGGCTTGAAAGTTACAGTACCGTCAGCATTAGCACTACCAAAGGTGTCTACCGACGGCTAAAACCTCTTAAATGTTATTTGGGATCGTCACCTGGATAACATTTGTCAAGATTAAGGCCATTGGAGATTGTACCTCTTATTTTCATTTTTTTATATAAAAATGAATTTTTAGTGCAAAAATAAAAATAAAAGGAATAATTTCCAATGGCCTTAATCTTAACAAATGTTATCCAGGACATGATCCTGAACATTCAAAAGGTTTTAGCCATCGGTTGGACACGTTGAGTAATGCTAATGTCGGCGGTACTGTAATTTCCAAACTTTATAACTTGAAAAGTACTTAATGGAAGATAACTTTATTATAGTGTTTTGAAAAGCTCTTGACACCAGCTATTAAATTTTGGCATCAAAAATAATGTTTCATTAAAAAAAAATCGATGATCTTAACCTGATCTTGGTAATACCCCGTGTACAAAATCTGTTATTTTTACCTTTTTCCCCTTAAGACAATTTACAACTTTTATATAAAACTTTTTCCTGTATCTCTCTTAGTTGAGATATCCACCTGGGGCGATTAAAATGCCCCACCTTGTATACAATAAGTTTAATTTATAAAACGTGAAATTGATTTGGTCTTATCCTGAGCATGCGGGTTTCATGAGTAATTTGTACTGAGAAACATAAGCCTCATACAGATTCATATCGTTTGGATTTGGTATCGTGCCACCTATCTGTAAAAATATTCATGAATACAAAGTTTAACATGAATACAATATTTAATGTGCAACACATTTACATACTGTGGCTCTTTTCACATATTGCTCATATATGCTTATGCTTGCGTCTTTAACAGTAGGTAACGTTATGACAGCAGCTGTAGATTCGTGAAAAGATGTTTGTTGAATTAGTTTCAAACGTAGTTTAGTATGATCTGTAGAATATGTTGCATTTCGTCCTATTAGAACAAATCTGGAAAAAGGAAAACATTAAAATATACAGGGTAGGATATTTTAATCGCCCCCGGCGGATATCCTAGAAACTAAGAGAGATACAGGAAAAAGTTTTATATAAAAGTTGTAAGTTTTTTGGGGGAAAAAAGGTAAAAATAACAGATTTTATATATAGGGCATTACCAAGATCAGGTCAAGGTCAAATTAATTTTTTTTAATAGAACACCCTATTTTTGATGCCAGAATTTAATAGCTGGTGTCAAGAGCTTTTCAAAATACTACGAGGTCTCGGTAGTCTAATGGCTTAGGACGCTTGTACGGAATACAAGAGATCCGAATTCGACTCCCGGCCGAGGTAATATTTTTCGCAATAAATTTAATTACAGTTTTTCAGCATATTAACATCTTTATAATATGATGCTTGATTGAGCATCAAAATTATTAAAATTACTTGTCAATTTAATTCGCGAGTTTACTACAGTAGTTTAATTGCGTTTATATAGTCCGAAAAAGGATTCGGCACGCAGTTCGAAAGACTACTGGTAAATATGGTATATATGCAAGTACATATATAGTATATTTAGTAATTCAAGATACAATTATTTAAGCATTAAAGATCCAGCTTCGACCGTTATAGGCATTTTGATATTGATTGTGTTCTCACATAAACGGTCTAAAATAATATTGTTTTTATATAAAACTTTTTTCTGTTTCTTTCTCAGTTCCTGAGATATCCGCCTGGGGCGATTAAAATGCCTCACCCTGTATAAAATTTTATACATGTTCGTAAAAACAAATATTACCTTTTATAAAGAATAATGTCGTTTCGTTTTGGATATTCTGGCTCTATGCCATATACTTCCTTCATAGAGGGAAACAATGATTCAAATGACATTAATTCTGAACTGTCTTTAGAAGTAATTAATTGGGAATCGTCCATTTGTTGGTGGCTTTCATCTTCATCTGAACTTGAATCCTCGCTTGAGCTGCAACATATAATCGATATTATTAATTAATCGGAGTTAATTATAAACATACTAACAAGGAGAGGCCACCAATCTGTAATCACCGATTACGACCAACTTTTTTAGGTGTACAGTACTCATTACAACATGTGCTACGGTAAAGTCATAAAATCCACTATTCAGTCGTTCTCGAGAAAATGGCGATAAAGTATTTCTTGGCATCGCTGTTACGCTCAGGTTTGATCCCTAGTCGGGACTTTTTGTAACATTTAAATCTTACAATTTTTTATTGTTATGTACAGTTTTTAAGTCGTTCTTAATCATTCACAGTATACAATTATTTATTATACTTAATTATTTAATACAAAATTAATTATTTATTGCAAAAGAATCAGAGAATCAGGAAATGCTTCCATATGAAATTAAAGATTTATTTGTGAACACAAAATATATATTTGTAATTAGAATTTACCGTTTTACAATAATGTTAAAATATGCCTGGTTTGCATCAAAAATAACAGAAGAAAGAAATTTATTTAAAAATGTCAACGAAGTTTGTTTTTCAGATTTTGTTAATAATACAAGCTGTAAAGATTGTGCAAATGACATAACAATAATAATATGCATGGTGCAACATTATGTTTTAATTGTTTGTACGATAAATACCATTCTAAAAGCTGCGAAGTTATTGTAAAACGGTAAATTCTAATTACAAATATGTATTACTGTAAATTCTAATTGCAAATATATATTTTGTGTTCACAAATAAATTTTTAATTTCGTATGAAAGCATTTCCTGATTTCCTGATTCTTTTGCAATAAATAATTAATTTTGTATTAAATAATTAAGTATAATAAATAATTTTATACTGTGAATGATTAAGAACGACTTGAAAACTGTACATAACAATAAAAAATTGTAAGATTTAAATGTTATAAAAAGTCCCGACTAGGGATCAAATCTGAGCGTAACAGCGGTGTCAAGAAATACTTTATCGCCATTTCCTCGAGAACGACTGAATAGTGGATTTTATGGCTTCATCGTAGCACATGTTTTAATGAGTACTGTACACCTAAAAAAGTTGGTTGTAATCGATGATTACAGACTAGCGGTCTCTCCTTGTAAGTAAAAGAAGCGCCAAATAAATATTAATATACTAACTATAAATAAATATAAATATTAATTTTTATTTATAATTAACTCGAAAGAATAAAATTGATAATTACAATACATACCTTGCGCTAGATGTTGTACTACTCGTACTACTCTGGCCAGTCATAGATGGATTTTTCATGTTTAAGTTTTTACTACCTGCTTCTTCTCTCCGTCTGCCTGGTCGTACACGAACGGCAAATGGACTATAGCAAGTAGTAAAATGTGGCATAAAATCTCTAACAGAGTGACTTATTTTATATGCATACACCTCAGATAGTAAAGATAATTCATATGGCCTAAAATATTTATATAGTTTTTCGTAAAACATGAATTGATGATACATATAATACGTACAATAATATGTATAATTATGAAATAAGTGATGCTACCTGTGATAATCGTAATAAACGTCAATCATTTCTTCTATTGAATTTTGCACTTGTATCATTTCTGAACAGGATTTAGTTACTTCATCAAGTGCGTAAGGAAGACATTTCAATACATTTTTATCCCACCATTGTGTCAGAAGTCTTCTTTTACGTGAGTAGTGACAAGCTGGTAGATGATGGAGATAATAATCTGTTAGAATTTCCCATATTGGAGGCTTACCTTCTTCAGGTATGAACAATCCTAAGATGAACGCATATTAATTAATTATAGATAATTATAGATTAATAATAGTATAAATAGTATAATAGTATTAATAATATAGTTTTAATAGTATTTATAGTAAATAATATAGTATTAATTAATAGTATAATAGTATTAATACTATAATATTAATAGTATAATAGTATTAATAATAGTATAAATAATTATAGATTAATTATAGTTTTGCAAAGATTAGATAGATACGTATGTGATGTTATTTACCCAAAAATAAATTAATCGTGTGCTGTTTTTCTTGATCACTAAATGTATTACTGTAATATCTGCTTAAAGTTTGCATAATATCGTTACCCTGACTTGTCCATGGAGCAGTTTTTCTAAATGATAACATTTTCGTATAATCGAAATTATTTTAATTTAATATATTACCACATTCTAGTGTAATAACATTCACCTACCTGTATGTCTTAATTCTATGTACTAGTTGTGAACCACCATATTGCAAGGCTAAAGTATCTCCATGATCTTCGTACAATTCTTCTAACATCCTTACGCAATCGGAATCAAATTCGAGTTTCGGAGACTCTAGTACACCCAAAGCACACAATTGAAACCCTAAGGCACATTTTCCTATTGCAAATTGAGCTGTATTTGTTCGGTCTAAGCAATCTACACAATTTGTTCTGATGATTCCAGTTTGCACAGTTCCTCTCTTAGCAAAACATTCCTTCACCTTATTTTGGATTTGATTTAATTCATTTGTTTTATTAATTTCTATATTTGAATCAGAATCATATATAGAACTTGTTTGCCCGTTACAATCCATTTTAATCGAAGTATTAATAGAGCTTTTGGTGTCATTTAAATTAGATAATAAAGTCGAATTTGAATTTGTCTTGTGGAGTTTCCTCGTATTATTGTTTTGTGGTGAAAACAGATTTCTCTGATTGTAATAAAGATTTTGTGACTGATAAATACCAGTCTTTAATACAGCATTGTGAGCAATATTTCCTAATCGCCCCATAACGTTCACTTTTTTTCTATAAAAGAGACAAAGAAAAATTAACGAAAATTAATTATAACGAAATTATTATTTCATATACAGGATGGGGCAATAACTTTGTCCACCTTGAATATCTCCGCTATTTTTAGAGATATGAAAATATTGTAATTACAAAAGTTGTACGATATCAAGAGGACCATAATATATGCTGATAATAATTTTTCTAGGTAGATGCGCTTCGGAAATTTCAAGATCACCTCCATTTTTTTTAATGGCATGCTGTACTTTTTTAACCTTAGTATTATAGCGGGTGTTTAGACGATTTCAATGACCTATAATAAAAGGTCATTCGTCATTAAATAAAGAAATAAAATGAAATGTTAAGAAGTGTACGTGCTTCAGAAATTCAACGATTGCAGTGTTACATTGATGTAAACGGACATCACTTTGAGCACTTCTTGTGTCTGTAACATAAGAATCATTGTTTTACTTTTTTATTTAATGACGAATGACCTTTTATTATAGGTCATTGAAATCGTCTAAACATCCGCTATTACACTAAGGTTAAAAAAGTACAACATGCCATTTAAAAAAATGGAGATGACCACCATGATCTCTCCGAAGCGCCTCCACTGAAAAAAATCATTACCAGCATATATTTTGGTGCTCTTGATAACGTACAACTTTTGTAATTATAATATTTTCATATCTCAAAAAATAACGGAAATATTCAAGATGGACCTATATTATTGTCCCATCCTGTATTTTAATATAAACTTACCTTTTGCTCATACGTGCCATATCAAAACTTATATATTGAATATGATGTTCTGGAGGTAGAAACTGATTCAAGTATTTCACAGCCATACTTAATTCTTCGCTTAATGTACTTTCATGTTTCTTCTTCTCTCGTTTTTTAACTAAATTTAATATTATTATTGGTGATCCATATCTTTTTAATAATTGATTAAAATGCGCTCCTAAAAGTATTTTAAATGTACAAGAATAAAAAATAATCTCATATCAGAATAAAATCAATTTATCAATTTTTATATATCAATACCTGCTGTTTCTACATAAGGATCAGACAAATCACAAGTTATGGTCGGTTTTGGGACCATCTTACTAACATCCTGACTCCAATGAGCAGGCACTGATCCACGCATTTGTACAAAAGAACTGAAACGTCCTTTACTTAGAGAACTCACGCCAGAATCATGAACGATTTGTTCCGTTTCTACTTCATTCGCGACATCTCCCTATATTCATATGTAATCATCAGTTTATATATCTATGAAAAATATATATTATAAATGCATCTGCACATACATCAAAATTTGCACCACGTTTCAGAAAACGTGTTCCTGCATATTTGTTACTTCTTCTGGCAATAACGGTGACGTACATAGATCTTCCAAAAATGCTCACATTTGACTGACCAATAAAGCCATGTATTATATACAATATCCATTCAGGATGCAAATCTTTTTCTACTGGCTTTAAAAGATGGGAATTCCACACAAAACGACGATGTGGATTACTACGTATACCGTAATCCATATATTTCTCGCCTCTACTATAAATACGTTTCAGATTCTTATTAATTTATCTCCTTATTATATTACATTTAAATAGAATATATATCTTTAAATTTTCTTAATCCGGGAATAGTCACTTGGAATATTCCTGCCTCAGCGGCAAAAAAATGTGAATTGTAAAATATTGTTTTGTATGGATGTTGTTTAATAAATTTCTTTCTTCTTTAATAGCTATTTTTTTATGAATAATTTAAATATGTAATTTTACCGAAAATCGCAATAAAAAAGCATTATTTAAAAATTTTGTCTTTTAAAAATACTATCATAAGTTACTTATTGTGCTTATTTTATTTAATATTTATTTAGCTTCTACTTACTTTTGTTTTAGAAAATTGTGATTAAATCCATATCTATAATACTTTTAAATACTAATACATCAGAAAATAACATACAGGGGACGTATTTTGGTCATGTTATTTTTCTTCTAGGTGGAGGCACCAAAAAAATATAAAGATCATCTCCATTTTCTATAAAATGGAATTATATAATTTTTCATATAGTATGATTTCTCTAATTATTCTGCATATAAAAGTATTAAAGTTGAGATATAAAAAAATCAATAGTTTATAAAATATTGAGTTAACTTATAGTTGCTTAAGAGTCAACAGGAGAGACTATGGAGATCTCTAGTCGGAGACGAATTACTTTATGCTGAAATTATGGCTAAAATACTGCATGAATAGCGTTTTAATTGAGATTTGTAATCTTGAAAATCACCTGAAGGCTCATATACAGTGATTTTTTTAAAGGCAAAATAAAAATTCATTCTGATATCTCCCGATGTATACTATAGTACACTTGAGCTACACATAATTTTATTTATTATAACTTTTCAAGAATCAATTTGCAAAATTCGGCTCTATATGCACCTTCGCAACTTCATAAAAAAGAAGCCAAAAAGGTCTCATGATATAATATTATTTTTAGGAGATAAAATATCAGCATGAAAATATGTATTTGTACCACGAATAAGGAGCATATCATTTTATTTATTATAATATTTTAAAAAGCGAAAATGTAAAATTCTACTCTATAATAGGCTTCGTAGCTTTGTAAAATATAAGCCAAAACGAATTCCATGGCAAAATATTTCTTCTACAAGTTAATATATAATAATAATGGTAGAATCTGATAGAGAGTGCAGATATGCAGTTGCACTGCAAATGGGATGTAAAGAAGTTGGCTTATCATTCCTGTCGATCCTTAAAAAAATATGTAGACAAAATGGATGGCTTTTTTAAATAACCAACTATGTGTTCTTTATATCAATTGATTCATTTCATTATTCTGTTCATACAAAAATATTAAAGTACGATAATAAAAAAAATTAATAAATATTTAACATTTTATGTCAAAATGAAGTATAAAATATCTATTAGTTTTTTGATATCTCTACCTTCATATTTTTATATGCAGAATAATTAAAGGAATCATTTTAAAAAATGGAGATAATTTTCATATCTTTTTGGCGCCTCCTAGAAGAAAAACAATATGACCAAAATACGTTCCCTCGAAATCGTTCCACTTTTATCTGAAACATTTTTTTTGTATCATTAATAATTTCGGAGAAAATTGACTGTATTGATTAAAATGAACTATATCTTGTACAATATGCTGTTAATAAGAGTAATTTTAATTTGAGTATAATACCACCCCAAATGATTGTTTACATATAAAAGAAATCAGGTGACTACTCCCGAATTAAACAAGTTATATAAACTGAGCATACTATAACATACTGTTCAGTCTGCCAATCTTTTCTAAATGCCCACATGTTAAAAAAATCTTCAGAATCGTCTGATTCTTCAGATTCCCTTTGGCTAGTACACATGTCAGTGAGAAGATCAGATTTGATACGCGTTGGCGGTGCCATATTACTTTGAAAAGTATGTGATATATCATATGAATAACTGAAGTAGAAGTTACTGCTGAGATCAATACTTTGAAACATCTTTACATATCTCTGTTCGTCAGGATGGAAGATTCGTACAATGTCATTTGGTATGTATATCATTGATGTATCTTCTATTTTATATATTGTATGATGACCAATAACTGCAATTCGGCGACGTTTTGTAACTAGGATTATGTAATATCCTTCCAAAAAACGTATAAACCCTGCATCAAATATTTTTTTCTAAAATATGTCTATAATTTATCACTATAATTATTATTGTCAATTATTATTGAATATGCTTCATATTTTCGCTGTATTTCTAAATCGTTGAAACAAAAAGAGTTGGATATCGATGATTTGCTTGCATATTTTATACACAATCATAAGCACTACTAGTTTTTGTAATACGTAGCGCCCATTATCTGCGTGTTACGTGATATCCATGCATTTAGCCTAATTATATGTGAGAAGTACGTTATATAAGTAAATATTACACCATGCATGAGGGAGGATATGTACATACCATGATGTACCATGATGTCTGATTGCGAATATTAATTCTGTTAATCATATAGTGTTTATTATTCTAACTGATTGCATATTGGCTTATCAAATACCAATTCATTAACCGAATAACTCTGTTGTATAATCAATGTGTAAATTGTACAATCAATTTTCGTATATTCCCTTAAAATTAACACTCAAAATATTTCATTTTATGCAATGTCAATTAAATTATTTCGCAACAAAGTTATTCCATTTATAGTAATTATATACGTCCACCTTCGGCTTTGTCAATAAAAAGCTTTTATGCCTTACCAAGGAGAGCAAAAGCTGGTACTAGCCTGGGGAAAGTGTCTCTCTGCCACATACTCGTCCAGGTGAATTTAGTTTGTGTCGGTTTATGCAGTGGTTTTTGTAATTCTTGTTGCTCAGGCTCCTCTGATATACTCGAACTAGGTGCAGGTTCTTTACTATTTTTGCCTTTATTAGCAAATGTAAATAAGCTAAGTTTCGTATAACGCAATTAATAATTCCGATAAGGTGTTTTTAGTATCTGATAGTATAAATGATATTAGTAATAGCGTGTAACAACTATAACAAGTTTTATATATCTATATATGGTATACAGAGTGTATCAGGTGTATCTGATCATTCGCAATCGGAACATACTACAAGATTAAGCATTTAATCCCGAATCTATTAAGCTTAATAATTTGTCGATCTACAATAAATCATTTCGAGAGCATTTTGAAAAATTTGTTACAAATAATGTTATAAACTTGTGATAAATAATTTTTAAAAAATTTGTTTAAATGATATAACAAAGAAGGACTACGAGCCTAAACAGCTTTTTAGACTCGTAGCCCTTCTTTGTTATATTATTTAATTTATTGAGCCTTTTTACTTAATTTTAATTTGTTTAAATGATTATTAATTGCGATCAACAAATTATTAGGTTCAATAGATTTGGGATAAAACGCTTTATCTTGTAGTATGTTCCGATTGCGAATGATCAGATATACCTTGTATATAGGAAAGTTATCATACCAGGACAGCTTGCAACACTGAGGAGCCTAAGTTTCAACATTTTTATCAATAATATTAGAATGATAGAGAGAGAGAAAGAGAAAGAGAGAAAGGAATGTGTATATACCATAGGTACTAGAAGTACCATTTAAATAAAAATGTGTATGACTCCATAAGTAACTATGTTTTAATACATATGCGAAAGCTTACGCATGCAGTTATTATCAACTCCGTGTTTGTTAAAGTGCAAGAGAAACACATATGTAATGATCTTACCAACAATCCCAAAGGCAGATACGACACGTGCAACACCACCCACGTTGCTGCGCTGTCCTGCTCGTGTTCGATTACCCATGTCAATCATGTTGACGAGATCTTTTATTTCGTCCTGAGTATATTCCCTCTTGTCGTCCATTACGACCAACTCTCTCGGTTCCATCCTGTCGATTTTCAGGACTCGAAAACGCGTTAATGTGTTGTTGGATCCCATCAGATAGAACCGCTGCAAAAGTGTAAACCTTGAAACCTTTGATAAATTGGATGAAAGTTAGAATGTCAATTCGAGACTCACGGATTTTGTCTCGTATAGGGCAATTTTCTGTATAGAGGAAATAATCGGATGGAACACCATGGTTGGTTTTCCTTGGTCTTCCATGGCGACGTAGCGTTTAGCACGATTTTATTTTGAGACACACGATTAACAGGCTATCACATGCTGATACCTATCTCTGCTGTTCTCGGCTTTGTAGCAGACGATATGAAAACATATAATATAATACATAACCTTCACATTGGTTGCGTTCAGCAGAACATTGGGCGAGTTCAAGACAGCAAAGCGGCTAGGCATGCTTACCGAGCGATTGAATATGATTGGTTGGATCTATAAGTAATAACTAATTATGTTCATTTGCTTGGCGAGCAGGCTAGCCGCTTTGTCTACTTGAACGCGCCCATTTATTTTGCAACGGTTAGAAGTTTTCTTTACGCTGATTAGATTATACTTTTAGATCTAAAGAAATGATCCTATCTCAGCAATTATAAAACGGTTGCAAAACTGTTGCGTTCTGCTGAACGTAGCCATTGTTATCTGACTCTTTGCGGTCCACTTGTCGCTACAAATGCTTTTGATTGACCAATCAGAAGAAATAATTTTACTAATTGACCAATCAAGAAATGCTTCGAAGTATTTGTAGCATCAAGTAGCTGGCGTAGCTGCGTAGCCTTTTATTCTTATACTTGTCGGAGAGGGCGTTAATGCATGGGAAATTTCTCAAGCTATAGGTCTATTTTTTTTTCCACCTCAAGTTTTGAACTGCCCGGTAAAAAAATTTTTCTTGCATAATATGTATAAACATGTATAAACATACATAAATATTTATAAACATGTATAATCATATATGAAATATGTCCATACATCCCTCTTTCTTTTGTAAAATTACTTTTTAGTATAATAGAAATAATATTAATGTGAAAACATTAAAAATAATTAAAAATAAGGTAATTTTCACACTATTTGTTTTAGAAAAAAACAAGAATTACTCATACACAATTATGCATACTTTTATATATAATTATACATAAATATTTTTACATTTCTTCAAACTTGATTTTTTTTCTAAAACAAATAGTGTGAAAATTACCTTATTTTTAATTATTTTTAATGTTTTCACATTAATATTATTATTTCTATATTACACTAAAAAGTAATTTTACTTTTCTTAAAAGAGAGATGTATGAATATGTATGGACATATTTCATATATGATTATATATATACATGTTTATGAATATTTATGTATGTTTATACATATTTTCATGCATGAAAAATTTTTTACGGGTGTAATAAGTTAGAGGGAGACAGTTATAATAGTTTGTTTCACTCTAACTTATTGTACTAGTTCAGAATTCTTCGAAAAAGAAAAGACCTTTTATGTATAACAGAATTATAAAAATCATGGTATTTTCTTACATCGTGATAAAAACTAGAATAACTATGGTCTTTTTATAACACACACATCATGGTTTTTATTATAAAAATCATGGTCTCTCTTTAATTATGATAAAAACTAGACAATATTTGCATATCAAAACATAAGTTTTCTCTTACATAAAATCTACATTTAATTTCATATAAAAGACTTTATAGGCGTGAAGGTGATAGAAAGTATTAATAAATATACATATTCAATATAATTATTTTTTATTATTTTCTATCATTAACATTTGCAATGTCAATACAGAATCACAATGCCAGAAGAGTCTATACAATTTATTATCTACATAATACCCGCTTAGTTTTTGAAGAATACTTCCTTTGCAATAAAATAGAATGAGTTTAATGTACAAAGACCGACGTATGTAGCTATAAACCCATACAGTAGCTTATCTTTTCTGCCACCTGACACATGTATTGGCATATCCTTTCTCAATGCTTCCTGCAAACAAGATGAAACATATTGTAAAGTAAATCTATATGTTCAAAATCTAATTGCAGCTGAAAATTATCTTTATGTATACTTACTCCAAAGAGCTTGTACTTTTTCCACACTGTTGTGTCAAGGGTGAGTGGTTTATTAGTGCAATAGCCTGATTTGGGCGTAACCGTCAAAGGTTTTGTCTTGATGGAGTCATAAATTATTACTGGCTCTGACTTCTGTAAAGGAAGAGGAGACTGAAACAACGTAAAAACTTTTATTGCTTATTTCATAAGCATGTTTATTTATTGCACCCAAGTAGCACACAGAGCTTACGAAGCATTAACAAAGCGCTAAAAGAGCGCATATAATCGCTTTTTTAGCATTTTGCGAGCGCTGCTGTGCTATTTGAGCATATGCATTGAATAAAGATATTAATGACTGCGTTCAGCAAAAAAAGCAGCTTTGCAACTGTTGTAAAATTCTTGAATATGACTGGTTTATACATTTAGATCCAATGAGGAACTAAGGGCAAGACCAATCATATTAAAGAATTTTACAACAGTTGCAAAGCTGCTTTCTCTCGCAGCCAATGTATTTCAGCAAGAACCATTCTGTTTCTTTCTTTCTTTCTCTCTCTACATACCTAGATAAAAATATATTTATAGAATATAGACTTATTATGTATTTATGTGTATGACATTGATCATTCTGTTTTCAAAATATTACGGTTAACGTATGATATACTGATTTAAGATACAGACTTCATTCATTATATCAATTAACATTATTATAGCATATCATATCAATGCAAGATCTGATAAAGATGTTACATGAACGCAAGTCCATATTCGACATGGCCGAATCACTGCTCTACGTTCGATAAAATCGGATCTGCTAATCAAATGACGATCGATCTGAAGGGCAAGGACACACTCAAGAAAGCAAAACGAGCACCGTGATTCCACGGAAACGACGAAACGAGCAATTTGGCGACATCCTCGGACAGGGATGTGTAAAAAGCGAGCAGTCCCGTCGATGAATTTTCGTGTGCGAGATATCGACTACATCATCACTTACGATGGGATACAGCGGCTGAAAATTAGTGGACGGCTTCAGCTTGCCAGTGAAAGAATTATATTGGTAAAACGGCATTTTTCGCAATTGCGCAACCAACAATTACCAGACGACGACTCCGTTATGTCAGATCGTGCCTCCGCACAACTTTGCAGCCATAGACTGTCATGGATTGTAGATTCTACCGCTGCAAGTGGCACAATTGCAAGCGGATATGATTGTTTGGCGGGAAGACAAACGATACGACAAAAGCGTTCGAAATTGATTTCAACAGAGATAAGAGGTTAGCGATGAGAGAAGGACGAAAAAGAAAGAGTCTTAAGAAGAAAGTTCCGTAATTTTCTAAAATCTTCCATAATCTCGTTTTATACACATAAAATGTGAATCCTTAAAATTCTATCCGGTGAAATTAAAGGAGTTTCAAATATTTCGTAGATCAATGATGCGCAACCTATTTAAAAGATTATATTTAAAGAGCCAGTTTTAGAAATTTTCACATAATGGCTGCGATTTACTTGATACTTCGAACACTACAAAACATGTGTAGCACCGATATAGTTGGCCCACTTATGCCCATTTCCACCAACGTAGATTAACTTTAATCTCGATTTAATTTACTCTTCAGCTTTTTCTAATTTTTGAACTAGAAAAATATAAAGAATAAGTTGAACTGAGATTAATCCACGTTGGTGGAAAAGGGCATTAATGCTCCAAACGTTCTCAGCAATTCTCATTACGTTATCAATGACTGTGTTCAACAGAAAAAGTAGTTTTGCAATTGTTATAAAATTCTTCGATATGATCAGTTTATACATTTAGATCCATAAGAGACCAAAAGTAAGAACCAATTGTATTGAAGAATTTTACAACAGTTGCAAAGTTGCTTTCTCTGCTGAACGCAGCCAATGAGTGCATTCAGTGAAGCCAACAGTTGAGTTTACTGTTATTGATGTATTCTTCTAATCTTCTCTAGATCATCTAATCAAATCTTTAGATCTAGAAGAATATACTAATAACAGCAATTAAGTACTCACTCAATCGTTTAGAGTGTTGACTCCGCTGAATATTCTCAATAGCTGCCTTCTATTTACATGAAAATTCAAAACATAATTCTAATTTGACGTCATAACTCTGTTAAATGTACGTTCCTTTTTATTTCGATTAGGCCCGTTTCTATCAACGTAGATTAACTTTAATCTTGGTTCAACTAACTCTTCATTTTTTTCTTCTAGAAATTAGAAAAAGATGAAGAGTAAGTTGAACCGAGATTAAAGTTAATCTATGTTGGTAGAAACGGGCCTTAGTGAGATTTAAGGCCTCTTTCACCAACTTCAATTAACACTAATTGGTTAACTCAAACATGATGATTATCAAAGACAGAACTAAATACAATTTATCCCAGAAGAGGAAGAAAGAGGAGACGTTTTGATACATTAAACTGTTATTGGCACTTTTGCGAGTTAATCATCGATCAATTTAGAAAGATCAAATTTTATGAACCTTCTAGGAAGATCATAGCAACCAATTTAGTTCCAAGCACTTTTTTTGTAACAAATAGAAAAAAGCGAAACGTATATTTAAAGTCATAAAATTTATTTAAATAAAGTTGTAAAATATGTACGAATACAGTATCAAATAAAAGAAAGCCAAATTGGCTCCAACGATTCTGTTAAGTAAACAATAATTAAATAATTTAAGTATCTTATACGTATATTGAAAAATTTTTTATATTAAAATTTAGAACATGAATAATAGAGTCACAAAAGAATACCACGTGAAAAAAAAAATTGAAAAAAGTTATAGCAGCTTGAATTTTGGAAAGAGCCAAACTATTTCGGTTTTTCTAGTGTTAACAAGTATTAACGAGTGTTAACCAGAAGTTGGTGAAAAAGGCCGGAATACAGATTTTTATATAAAATATAAAGATTAAGAAAAACTCCCAATTAGAGTCTTATCTCACGAAAAAGAAGGTGCAATGATGTTGTGAAACCGGAATGACGATAATTTTGGAAATCGCGCCTAGAGATAAGGCTGCGTTCCGTTTCACGCACGATGCGCATGATGTATTAGGGAGCTTTTGCAATACCGTTTATCCAGATACGGTGAACGCTAAGATAACTTCTTCTTAACAACTAATGAAGAAAAGGATAACGTGACTTTAGCGTTCACCATATTGAAAATAACGTGACAAAAATTCCCCATTTATCCTTGTTATTCACCGAATGTTAAACAAGATAAATGATATTGTGCGCATCATGCGTGAAACGGAAGTACCCTATGTGTGACTAGAGGCACGTATTTCTAAAATCACTTTCGGTTTCACATCATGCCGGAGCTTTGGCCAATCTCTACCTAGAAGCTCTCTAAGAAGATGTGTATTCTTCTAGATCATCCAATCAGACTTCTAGCTTAGTTAGAAGAATACACATCAATAGTAAGAGCAACAAGCTCGCTCAATTGCTAAATCTGCTGAACGCAGCCAATGACGTTGTATGCTCTACTGTTGGTAGAACGTAGAAAATGTGACATCATCAATCCAATGCCACACGTGTGAAACACTTGTTAATTTACATAAAAAGTAAGGTTATATAAACCTGCGTTGTACAATAACCAGTAAGTAGTGACGTCATTATCTGAATATAAGAATACCTCACATAATTTTAAACTCATTTATGTAAAAATGGAAAGCAATTTGTATTTATTTCGTTTCCATGAAATATAATTTCAGAAAATATAATCTTCAGCTATGAGCCTGTTGACCATAAAGCCTATTTAATAATGTGCTTTTGATTTCCTGTTTCTTGCTTTTTGCAATTTTTTACATTTTGTCTTTTTATCCATTATCTTGTTTTTCAGTTTCTATCGTCGAAAATAAGAGTTAATGAACTTCAGAAGAAGAGAAACATTGGCGAGAAATACATTCTCGATAAAATGGTCACGAAAAAGGTAGAAAGCAAGAAATCGAAAACAAAGCACATTGTATAATAGGCTTAAAAAATTCACAGGTGAGTTGCATGCGGCTCGCAGTATCTGAAAAGGGTCTTAAATTATTTAGTACAAAAAACTACATAGATCTTAGAAATTCTTAATTTTTCCTAGATATTTGTAGTGGGATGTAGAATATAGTTTGTTTGTCTTAATAGTTTTTCGTAGATATTCGTAATCGGATGAAGACTGGCGTTGAAGACAAAGAATTTCTTAGTTTTTCGAACAAACGAAAACGACGCCACTCTGCGTCCCATTATGAAAAACTAAAAATTTCTAAGATCATAAATTGTCTTAATTTATGCAGTTTTTCGTAAAAATTTTCCGCCAGTTTCATTACTTTGCCCCGAATAAAAAAAAAATGAAAGAATCAATTGGCATCGAAAATATGTGTTCATAACCTATATATCATATAAATGATTTTTTCCTGTTATATTATTTTAATATAAAAATATTTATTTTATAACGATAGTCGCGCGTGTCCCTGGCAATAATTAATATATATTGTTATCAGCGCAACTTTACTTATTTTTGTAAAAAAAAAAATCGCATTTGTTCATTATCACATCGGAAATGGATGTAACGTCTGAAACCACATTGTTGCCAAGCCAATACTGTACACTTCTGCATTTGTGCTGCCTCGCGTAAAACGTTGTTTTCCGACACTAGCTCTATCTAGCGCACTTTGACAGTGAATGTTACACAGTGAGGTTAGGCACAGTTGCAAACAGTTGCAAGTCTCCAAGAGTTTCATGTGAAATGGTACTAATTACGTTTTATAATAGTATTTTTTTGTACTCTCTAATTATAAAATATAAACAAGACTTAATAGAGAGATTATGTCAGGCTCCAATATTAATAATTTTAGCTTGTTACATATGCTTCTTACATATATGGCACATATCTCTCATGATCCTCATTGAGAGAGACTATGCCCACATTCATAGTGAAGCCTTATATTTAAGGTTTCCTTAAATTTATCTTTAGATGCCCTACAAATTATTTTATTAGCTACTAAACATGTAAAGATAAATTTAAGGATGGCTTAAACATTAAGTCTGACTATTGATTTGTTTTTTATTCCTAGACTGCACTAGAACTCTCTTTCTATATACAATATCAAATATATACCTATTTTTAAGTTCCAAAAATGTACACTAGTTCAGTCACAGAAAACAGACTTTATGAGTACAAGCATTATTTCACATTGTAACGCATACTTGTGCTGTGGGTAGTGATGGGTATCAAGATGCTTTGAATTAGTTCAAATATATCATGAAAAGTTCAAATTAATTCAAGTACGATTTGAAATTATACAATCTTAAAAGTCTCTTGAAGGTCTTGAATATTTTAGAAAGTTTTGAATATCTTGAAAAGTGTTGAATGTCTTGGAAAAGTCTTAAAAAGTTCTGAATGTTGTAATAAATTTTAAAGAGTATAAAATTTTAGATAGAGCAATTTTAGTTTAATTTTAGAGAGTGAAAAATATTAAATAAATATAAATAATTATAATATGTCAAAGAAATGACGTTCAAGTCAAAGAAACTTTTCTTTAACCATATAGCAAGTTCAAATTTTTTTTATTCAAACAAATTTTTTTTAATCGAAAAAATCAAAAATTATCAAGGCTTTCAAGATCTATCAAGGCTTTCAAGACCTATCAAGATTTTCAAGATCTATCAAGGCTTTTAAGATATATCAAGACTTTCAAAATCTATCAAGACTTTTAAAGAGTGTACAATCTTCAAATAATATTCGAAATGTTTTGAAACAGAGCAATGACTAAATTGATTGAAAAGAGATATGATTGAATATCCATCACTAACTGTGGAACATAATATTAATAAATAAAATCTTATCTACTTTGTTTCAGAAGTCACGTGATGTCATGAGTGAGATACTGTTAATACAAATGATTATCTAAGGAAAGCAAATAACATTACGGATCTATAAGTACTTTTAGTTTCCATAAGTATTTGTGTTGCCAGGTATGATACATATAGATATATATTGAAGGTAATTCTCTTTTTGCTGATGGATGTGAATTTAGATTGCTATATACAAATAATAAATATATACTATATATAAATATAAATATACTATACAGTCAAGAGGCAGTGGCTACATTCAGCAGAAAAAGCAGCTTTGCAACTGTTGTAAAATTCTTTAATATGCTTGATCTTTCTTTTAGTTCCTCATTAGATCTAAATGTATAAACCAATCATATTCAAGAATTTTATAACAGTTGCAAAGCTGCTTTCTCTACTGAACGCAACCATTACTTTCTTACAGCTGATATTTTTCTATATTGTTTAATATGCATGCATGTTACATATATGATGGATATACAAAAATATAAAGCATCTTTTAAACAATTATATTTAATTTAATTCACAGAAATGTACATTATATATTAACGTAATTAACTTTTTTTCTCATTGGCCATAATTACTTATTTTATTACTAAATATATGTTACTAAATATATTTTGATAATATCCTAACTTATTTATCAAAGCACATGCATCCAATTGTGACAAATTGCATTATGAAATGCACACCTAATATTCCTATATAAATTCCAGGATCTTTGGATAGGAGAGAGTCTCTGGATTTACTTCAATCAATAGTACCATAAAAAATTCAGTGATTACATTATCCTGTGAAACCAATGGTATTGAGCTTTATATTACATTATTATATCATGCTAAGTTACAATGTAAAAGTTTTCATTAGGCTGCATAGTTGACATTAACAAATCGTTAATTAATAAAATATTAATTAACGCCATAGGCGTCTATGGCTAAATCGTTGTGACATTTCTGACCAAGCACGAATTGTTTCAATAACTTTCCACTATGGCAGCCCTATCATGCACTATTTTACCGACAGAGTACTCGCGATTCAAGAAATTTAGAGACATCATGGCTGAAAGATGTACATACACCTTGTGATTTGCAGCAATGTGTTAATTCATTTCATTGAATTCCACATATAACAGATATGCTGTAACAAATATCTATGGTAAAAAATCAAATATATGTAAAGACAAGAGAGGAGGAAGAGAGAGAAAGAGAGAGAGAGAGAAAGAGAGAACAATATGTCAATTCTTTTCATTGAATTCCATATATAACAGATATACTGTAACAAATATCCATGATAAAATTGGTTTTAAATTCCATAAATAAAGAAACTTGTGCATTCATGATGTTGATTAATAGAGCTAATAAATATGTAGGAGGAAGCCTATTCTAGTATCTTATGTAGTGATATTGTGAAAACTGACTAGACCAGTGTGATAGTTTACAATTAATATAATCTTGCAGGTTTTATTAATATAAAACTATAAAACTGTATCTCAATAAGAAAATGATATTTAATATCTTTTATCCAAGATTGGCAATTTGTTTTCAGGATCGTTTTAGTACACGGTCCATACGCATTGGACCAAAAGTGCATAGGAATAAAAATATTGGGGACAAATGGGGACTAGAATATCACAAAGCTATACAGGATGTTGTATTTAGCCAGCATTGTTTCCCTTTCATGCCAACAGAACCACCAGCATCCTTGAGCGAAGAGATTGTAGAATCTGGTCCGTTATATGTGTGCAGACATTGCAGAGATTGGTAAGTTGGAATAAAGTATTTTAACAATTGTGTTAAGATACAACAGAATTTTTATGATTTATTTTATTATATAACTATAACGCGTATACGGATGATTTTTGTTTCAGTTTTCGTTTTCAAAGCAGTTTTGAGGAGCACAATGCACGGCATTGTTGGATTTTAGGGCTTTGGTGTCGTTGTTGTTTCGATACAATATGTAATCATCCAGTTAGGGAAGGTTATACAAAATGTTCTGAATGTTTACAAAAGAATAGTAAAAAACGTGCATATTTACAATCAAGAGGTAATAAGCATTCACGAGTGGGAGTTATAAAAGTATTCTACAACCAGTGCCAATTTATCGATCACATGAAAATGCATCAATTAAGCATAGTAAATATGGGTGATTTAATGTTAATTCCTCTACCTGTTGACATAAGCGATAGTGATTGGTCTTTTGAATTTGAGATACTATGCGAAGCACTTATGGAAGTGGCATTTTTGTTACGCACACATATTATAGATTGGTTAAAGGAGCATAACTTGCAAGATAATTGGTGGAAGCTGGTTAATGGCAAAAGTAATGACTCTAAGATAAAGGAAATTGTCGATGGTTACCAAGGTCGACAATTATTTAAACCCTCTTATAAGACAATTACCGATATGTTTTCGAATTCTTCTAACGTTACATATAGTATTAGAACCTCCCCACATATTGAATTTATTGATGACGATTCCATAGATAAAAATACAAATAATTCTGTTGATTTAATGTCAGATAAGAATATCATAGAAGATGAAGATAATCCATGTATAGTAACTGATATTGCTTTTGTGGATTGCGGTCCTACTTCACAATATTTTGAACCGGAAATACCAGTAAATCATAAGAGAATACAACAGTTAAAAACTTATCGCCCAGCTAATGCTACTAAAATGAATAATAAAATAATGGATGAAACTTGTAAGGATCGCAATTCACACGAAACAAATATTCATGAAAATGTTATAAAGAAAACTGCAGAGAACAATCTTAGTAAACCTAGTAATCCTAGTAATATAACCAAAACTGGCGTTAGCACAATTATGAACAATTCATTTAAGATTAGTATCCCATTTTCTGCTAAGAAAAATTCAATAATTAAGACTAATTTAAATCAGTCGACACAAAGTCTTCAAACATCAAGAGCAAATAATAAGATGTTAAATGTCCAAGCTCCAAAGAATATTGCAATAATTAACCAATTTTCATCTCAACTTGTTTCCAACCAGAAAATAGTTCTCATTGGACAGGATTCATGTAATGTCATATCTCCCAGCAAGAATGAATTGACTACCAAAAAAGATTCAAGCAACTCAGTAGTAGATAATAGTGGTTCCAATACATCAATACAGAAGAGATCTGATTCCAATATCAAGAAACAAAAAACGAATGAAAAAATTATAATAAATAACGGACAGAAGTACGTCATTAAACGTATAAAAAAAGGGGGAAATCCCCAAAGTTCTTCTAAGTCATTACTTGTAAAAAACGCCACGAAAGTTACGAAACAATTGACGTTTGAACGTAACATTTCGAAGCCAAATGTTTTAAAGCCTACTAATTCTAACGAAGTCGAAAACGGCACACAACAAACTTCACTTCTCAACAATATTTCCGTTTCAACACCTTCGCCACCTCCTAAATTATCCAATAATGAATCACACGTTAACAAAATATCAATTTTGCCAAAATTACAAAAAATGCCTCCGTATTTAATTCCAGTATCTGCTATGCATCCGAGATATATGTCGGAAATAATATCACTGGTTAAAGAAGACAATGGAGATCTTTATATGGATGTAAAATTAGTAGATCGTATTGCGAAAGAAAGCTTTCTTTCTGTGTGTGATGTAATAACAAAATATAGACGAGAAATGTTTGCTGAATTTTATCAAATGAATAGCTTGCAATTGAAAGAACGGCTGGAGCATTTGCAATATGTTACTGATGAAATGAAAAATGTTATGAATTTCATATCAGACAACGTTTTTCAAGAAAAGTTAAGATCTGTTAATACTATCAAATGCTTATTAGAAGAATGTCTTCATAAATCTAACCAGAACGTACAGGATGAGAAAAGAAACGATGATATTATATTAAACGAATGGGAAATGGAAGTAAGTCGAAAGTATAGATGTCTATCATGTATTAAATATAGGAAACCTGAATCATACATAGTTGGCTTTTCAAAATTGGCTATGAATGATAATGATTATTGTTCTTGTTATAAAGAAGTTTGTCAAGAGTGTCAATCTTACCAAGGTAGTATTTCACGGTTTGTCGCGCATCAAAATTTCCATAAGAAGAAAAAACCTTTTACTTGTCCAGAGTGCGATTCAAAGTTTAAGTCTGCTACATCTTTAGAAGTTCACACATGGACCGTTTGCTTTCATACGCTGAAGAAGGTCACATTTGGTTGTAAAATTTGCGAAATAGATGGTTTTAGAGATTTAGAATCGATCACCAGACATTTTGTTATCATGCATGGCGATACAAAGATCGGTTGCGAAGTTTGTAATCGGGTATTTGCCTCGTATAATGAATATGTACAACATCGTACAAAGACACATCCGGTGAAGACACAGCAGAAGCCAGTACGACTAGTAATATATAAACTAAGTAATGTAATCTTACGTTGCGAGAATTACATGCCATACTTGGAGAAGAATCCTGTAATTCGAAAATTAGTATGGTTTAAATGTCCTTTTTGCCAGTTAATAACTACAGATAACAAACATGTGGCGATGTTATTGAACACTCATTTGCGAAACAATCATATAGAACCCATGTCAAAAGTTCTTAGTAATAAAGCATACGCTTTAATTTTCGGTGCAAAAGCTGTCGTTTTAAAAACTCAAAAATCTCTTTTGACTAATACCATAGTACCTAAAATCGTGAATACTCGAACTATTAGTTCAGAAATATTCGAACGTGGCTCTCAAAATATGGAACATATATGGCCTACAGATATCAAAAAAGATGTTAACGAAAGTTCACAAGTAGTGAAGAACATTGATGATAAGGAAAAAGGACAGTTATTGCCAAAAATAGTCAGCGTTGTATCGATGAATGATTTAAAGCCATCCAAACCTGAGAAAGCAATCATGAAAATTTTTACTGAAACAAAAACGAAGTCTAATTCTCCGGTTTTTCAACTTATCGTTAACAGTGACGGAAAAATGGTCCCACATGAAGAAACAGTAATGGAATCAGATAGCAAATCTAATAATAAGGAAAAGACAACAAAGACAACAGAGCTTGATAAAGATAACGAATTGATAACGAATATTTCACACATCTCCGAATTTGAGAAAAAGCCTTTATTAATGAACATAGTTGATACTCCAAATTCGTCAATTGTATCGAATGAAAAAGTTTCAAGTTCTATATCCGAAGCTACAGATAATCGTATAAAAATAATTGATATTAAAACAATATGTAAATCGGACATCGAGCTACTCGCTAATACAGAAATATGCGATACACAGACGAAAGATGAAAATGCAAGTAACACGATATTCATACCAAAACCTCCTCCGCTTGCCAGGATCCCACAGCATTTACTTAAACCTATGGAAGTCATCAAGTCGGAAAATGAGTCGACTAATGACTCAAATTCAAGATCGGAATCTCTCATCCAAAGAACTGATAACCCAAAAATAAAGCGTATCGCTTTAGGATCGCAAAAGAAAGAAGTTATTGATTACCTATGCCACTTATGCAAAGAACGGATTAATACTTCTCAATTTGTAATGGAGGCGCACTTTCGTGAAAAGCATGCAGATGAGTACAGAGTGGCGATAATCACTCCGCAATTATCACAGATGTCACACGACTTTATTAATGGCGACTATAAACAATTTATTAATAACAGGAAACGGAAATCGGATAACACTTTATCTATAATTAAAAGAAAACGTCGATGGACGAAAAAACATACCGAAATAAAGGATACGAACCCACCAGTAGGATTATGTGTTAAGCAAGAAACGGCTGAGGACGGTGAAGGTAATTTTATATGTAAGAAATGTGGTCAACAATGCTCTGACATGTCCAATTTGAGAGAGCATATTGCTGCCGATCATCGATTGAAGGGCCGTTACCTGATATGCTTGGAATGTGGCGAGAACTTTGTGGTTGCACCCAGCTTGCAGATGCATCTTAAAGCTTTTCACGGCATAGAAGATCCTATCAATTATATGAATCAAAATCCCTCTTACGCTCCTAGCCTTGACAGTGACTTGCAAACGGAAGAAAAAACAACGGTAGCTAATCAGTGCTACGTCTGTATGGCAGTTTTCGAAGATAAAGCCGCAGTAGACAAGCATCTGAGGGTGCATGGTATGGCTTTCTTGAATCGTAAGATGATAGAGGCGAGAAATGCTTTGAAGAAAAAGGTCAATATGGAGGAGAGTAAGCAAAATATTAAAGCTTCAAAGGAGACTGCAAAACGAAACAAACCGGTGGAAACCATTTTAGAAAAAATTAATGTAAGTAATTAAGTAATTAAATTAATTTGTCGAAAGTGGCGTTATTGATTTCATAATTATCAAATTGTGTAAACGTTGATTATTTTAGGCGAAAATATAGCTACAGAAGATGAAACGCATAAAAGGAAGAAAATATGTGGAAGGGAGCAATGCTGGAATATGATGGATTCATTAATCTTACTTATATGTTCATTTCTGTATATTTGCGCACTGAACTCTTCATTGTTATCCCTGAATATTGCGTCGGTGAATCATTAGATCTCTTTTTTTTTATTACATGTACCTTGTAATATATTACTTTTTTTGTAATACTATTAGGTAAGCAGGTAGAAAATGATTTATTATTCGTTAGGACGTAATTATGCGAGCGAAACAGTAATAGAATTACATAATAGGTAAGTCTGACAAAAAGTAACAAAACACTTAATATTCTAGTTTTTAAATCATTCTTCTTTTAAAAATAACATTTTGCTTTGTTATGTGTATGTATGTATAACATATACATATACATATATACATATATATTTTATATAATTTACATATCCTTCAAATACAATTTATATTAATATTTGCTGTAAGTTCATTTATTCTGAATAAGTTAAAGTTAAGTCGTTGTAATAGTTTATGTAAGTATTAAACGTTTGACATATGTAAGTTTATTAGATGAACATACAATGTCCCGAAAACAAACGTGTCGAAATTTAAATCTTGCGACCATGTCCCGAAATGTTAAATTACCGAAATTTAAGACGACAATGTGTCTCGAAAAGTTATAATTCCAAAATTAGAGTATAACTCTACCAATATCGAAAAACAATTTTTCGAGACATTGCAGGTCCATCAGTTATTAAAGTCTGATTGATTTGACATCTGAGATATAATTTCTCTCTCCTGATTCAAAGTATGTTGATTTATATAAAATATAAGAAAATGTAAATAATTGTAATGGAGTAATGCATTTACGGAATAATATTTGTATTATATTTAATTAGCTAAATATTTTCTGACTTTGTAAGAAAAGATAAGAATGACTAGTATATAAGAATAAAAAATTCTTATATATACTAGTTGAACATTTATCGCATTAATCTGTTATTAAAGGATTGTGGGATACATGATCAATGTAATAAAACAAAAATGAATAGAATATATATAGTTCTTTATATATTATATCATTCTTATTTGCACAGACAATGCTGGTTATTGCTTAATAGATAAAGTATTTTTTATCGATTGACACATCAAGATATCCGAGTTACGAAACCAATCGGATAGCAAGACTTTGGAAGGAAATCGTTTCCTCACCACTTGCCTTATCTACATATTTATACGTATATATGTTTATACTCGGTGGCATGAAAATATCGGTACGTTTCAATATATGTTCACGTATGTTACAAATAAAATGTGGCATTCTTATTTTAAATCGCTTTTTCGAGTAAATATATTTTCATTGCACATGAGCGCAGGTACTAGAGAAAGGATTTGGGGCACTGAACACTTTGATTGCAGTCCCGTAAGGGTATTTACAGTTTGTCCTTTCTAAAATACTTTTAAAGAGTTTTAGAGTTGTGAAAGTATTCTATCTTGGAATATCCGATGTGAATATATCATTAATTACAAATAGAGTATTTTAAAGTGATGTTGAAGTTTCCCATTTTGATTTCCGTTACTCTTCTTGCTTATTATAAGATAAGGTAAAATTAGTGCATTTTCGAAAACAACATACCGTTTTTACGACACATAACTTATATTAGAAGGGGGCCAAGATTACTCAATTTATTCCATAAAAAAAAAAATAGAAGGATATCATAGATGTTGGTCCCTTTTATAATCCTCCAAGACAAACGTATACTCTTACGGGTCTTAAAATTTGCTATTCTTTTCTTTTTTCTCTTTTTTTTGGCACAGTTACTAGCGAACACACATGTTTAAGATTACATTGCGATTGGTCCATGATCATCGCATTTAGTTTACACATACGCCACTTTGGAGAGTCTGCATAATCATGACGCACTTTCCGCTTATTGATTTGAGCACGAATAAAGTCAATTCTCGCGTCAAGTTGAGCCGGATGTTCATATTGTCTTTTCCCTTTGGTAATCTATATTGCATTGACAGTGTCGATTTTATAGCGTTCCACTGCACAGTTTCCGACTGAATCATATATAACGCTTAATAAATAATCAATTGTAACGTTAAACAACATTCACTATTTAACGTTAGATTTTGAATTGACTATCGAAAGATCTACCCGGTTTTTGACATATTGATTTAAAGCTAGCCAATATATGTTATATTTTATTACTATTATTATTATTATTATATATATAATTTTCATATATTGCACAGACTCTGTTACGAAAATCCTAGTACATAATGCGCCCCTATAATTACTTTAATTATTTCTTATCACGCTGCATAATCTTCCTTCGTCTATCACACGAAACATCTAAATAGAAATTTTCAATTCGTTTTAGATTGTCTAAGCGGCTACGGTAATTAGGAATTTTGATAGAATAATCGCTGTCCCACTTTCGGAAGGACTTCGAAATATTAGATGTTACAAGTAGAATACGAGAAAATCAACGTAAGTTCCTCCCTTTATATATATATTTTTTCTCTCTCTTAAACTTTAATACACTTTATATCACTTAGACGAAATTGTTACTATCACGTGCACAATATTTTACGTTACAGGAGTCGATCGCTTCTCTTCGCAGGAAGTACCAACATGACTGTCGACATCATCGTTCGATTCCTCCCCTGGGTTATCCATATCGACTACCGAGATCACTGGACTCGTTGGACGAGGCCTTGATTCTTGACGGAAGTTCGGTATGATATCGTGTCGAGTCTCTGGGGTGAAATCGTTCTTTAAGGATACAGAATCGCTAGTGACATCAATTATCTTCATGGACGAAGAGGACGACGAACTCGACTGCATTGTCTTCAGTTCGTGTTCGGCGGGACTGACTGCTTCTTCGCTGTCATTTTCTCTGAATAGCTTTCTCAGATCGCTGCCCAGTCTCGTATCGATTGGACTCATCTTCGAATCTACGGGGATAGTTAAGGGTAGAGATTCCGGTGGTTTCTTGACTCTGACAGTATTGGCCTCGCTGAAAGAAACTTTGATCTCGCTCGCGGTCCACACGTCGGAGTTGGGACTGCACGAGCCACGAGTTGTTGTTTGAGTAACCTTTGGTTTCGTCGCATCATCCATCGAGTGCCAACGATGCGGTCTCGTAACCGATGTACCTTGTGCAATGGCGCTTAAACTGTTCGCTGGAATTATTCGATGAGGAAATCGAGGTGAGCCGCGTATCTTTTCTCGAGAAGATGATTGACTCGTGCTCGTTTCTGAAATACATTCAACATCGCAATGTTTGAATTTCTCTTCCGGACATTTTTATGAATTTATTACAAGATATATTATGCAATAAAATAGACAAAACCACATTTCTTCTTTCTCTTTTTGAGAAAGAAAACAATGTATGTTTTTGTATCGAAATTGAATATAAAATTTAATGAATAAATGTATGAATTTATGGAAGCTATAAATATTTAAGTGTATAAGTATTTAATTAAGATAATATATTGAAGAATCAAGTCACTTACGTGGCGGTAGGCTGAAATTTACTTTAGGCTCGCTACTTTCTTTGCGACGTAGCCCTACTAGGCTTAACCTACGGTCTTCCTCGCTAGTAATGCTAATTATTGGTCCTGAACCGCATCGTGTATGAGGCGAATGAGTGCCTTGGGCATCCACTTGGCAAGTAGAAGCAGCTTTCGCGCCGGGCACTAAACCAGCGATATAGCCCATATGGACTCGAAGCGCTGATGCAACCCCTAATGAAGGTAATATAAGCAGGATAAGGTGCATAGGTATATTAAATGTAGCTGAATTATAGGAAATGCGAGAGCGAAACAGGAAATACAAACCATCACATTTATCAAAATACTAAACCTATATGTTATATAATACGCAATAATTTCCCTTTCTCTCTTTTCCATCAATTTACAAATGATTATGGACCGCAACATGAATCGAATTCAAACAATTTACATTTCTCGCAAGCATTTCACGGCTGAACAAAAAGCGGAAATTATTCCGATACAATAGGCAGACGGACCCAATTCCAATTTTAACTTTTATTTCCTTCCGCAGTTGTAACGTGCTTTTGTAAAAATGTTCCTTTGTGAGAGAAAACTCGCTTCTGACGTTGCAATATACATATATAGTTAAATCGTGTCTATATCATACCGCTTTAAGGTGTAAAGTGCTTCTATTCTTTTATTCTCTGGCGCTTTCTCTTACCGGTGAACGACGCTGTGGAGGTCTTTCTGCTACTCGGCCTGCTGCCGAAGAGACTGAAGAGTCGTTGAAAAACACCCAGCCGATTTGGACCCTCGGTCTCTCGGCGACGGTGCAACTTGTAAAGGTCGGCCAGGCTTTGTCTGGGATCGCCGGGCTCCAGATCCGGTTGACTGCTAAATGCTACGGTACCGCGACGTATGCCTAATTTCAACAAGGGTCAAACTCGTACATGACGCGGAACCACCATTATGTGTCGAGCGATCATTATGATGGACATTATTAATTGAGACCTTGGTTTCTACCTAGCTGTCGGAATTTTGCATAAGCCACGAAAGCGCGCGCGAGTTTAGACTACATTTATGCAGAAATGAGTCATGAATCCAATGAATATTCGCGCTCGCAACTGGAATATTCCTCCATTATTTGAAAAGAGACATCCGTATACCTCTCTGTAATAAATGCATAATTGCGCGAGGTTACGAATTAAAAATCTTTATACCTATTTTGATCAAGTTACGTTATTCATTTAGTGAAACAAAATGCGAGTACTCCAAATTTTTTTATTTCTGTGCTATCCTAATCGATTTACGACTGCAGGTTCAGTATTTTTAGAAAATTGTCTTCATATGTAGTAGAAGAAGAAGGAGGGAAAATACGTATATATGTGTCTCTCGTAATAGTAAAACTGTAAAGCGTCTATTATTTTTTTTCTTAAGTATTTTTGGAACAATATAATTAGTTGAAATTTTCTTTAATATTATTATATATATATGTATATAAAATATAATATTCTTGAAATATTATAATATTACTTTAATTTTCTTAACAATATTCATATAACATTCTAGGAATATTTTGCGCTTATAGAGAAATACTACTTTTGCGGCCTACAAGACTTTATCTATTTTAAAAAATGGCTTTCTGAAAATAACCCTCTTAAAAAAAGTTGCGCATCATTGCCATTCAAAACTTCGTCTTATTTAGTCGAGAAAATTTAAAAAACTGTAATGGTTAATCGTAAATTGTGTAAATTCAAAACAAAAGCATACAATTCGTGTTTTCGACGTAACTTGCGAAGGATATTTGTTATTCAGATA